CTCTCTCTCTCTCTCTCTCTCTCTCTCTCTCTCTCTCTCTCTCTCTCTCTCTCTCTCTCTCTCTCTCTCTCTCTCTCTCTCTCTCTAGCTTTTTAAACTATGGTGCCTGGTGCAGGTGACTACTCTATACCTGTTAACCTCACCCGACGCTTGGTAGCACAAGACACTGACAGCACTTCCACGGCAAGCACGAAAGAAAATTATGTTGGCGCCTTGCTGCCAATGGACCTTTTGTACTTTGCTGTTTGCCGGCTGTGGTCGGCTTTCAGCGCTTCTGGACGTTTCTCGGATTTTCGTGTATTATTCCCCTTCGAGTCTTTCTCCCTGGAACTCTTTCTATGGCATGTTGTATTTCCCTGTTTACAACTCTTGTAGATTCCGGTCGAGGGTCCGTAAACTGGACGACTTCCTGTATCTCCTTAAGAGTCTCTCTAGGCTCTCCTTTCTGGAATATGAACATTAGGTACATATCTTTCTTCTGCTTCTGCTTCTGCTTTCGGCTTTCTCCTTCTGCTTTCTGATTTCTCCTTTCTGCTTTCTGCTTCTGCTTTCTGCTCTCTGCTTTCTGCTCTCTGCTTTCTGCTTCTGCTTTCTGCTTCTGCTTCTGCTTCTGCTTCTTCTTCTGCTTCTGCTTCTGCTTCTGCTTCTGCTTCTGCTTCTGCTTCTGCTTCTGCTTCTGCTTCTGCTTCTGCTTCTGCTGGTGTTGTGAATGATTTTACAATGAACTCACGGGCAAGAATCCATAAGATTACTTGAGGCAGGGAGGCTGATGCAAGGAGACCCTCACTCATGCATCATCCATTCCATGTGAGTGTGCAGAACTGCCATATTTCCTTGAATTTTTGCTTTTTTTTTCCTTGTTTTTCTTTGTGTGTGTGATATGTATGTTCTTTAGGGTATATCTGTATTCAGTTTCGAGAGAACTTTCGACTTATTTGGACCAGTATCGAAAAAATTGGCAAAAACACTGAATTCGGAGAAAATTTGTGGCAAACTCCAAAAGCTACTCCGAATAGGGTTTTATATTTATAAATTTATAGTGCTTTCGAGTTTTTTTTAACTTTTTTTTTTTTTAAGGTTTTGTTTTGCCTGTTTTTTTTTTCATGTTCGTATTATGAGCCTGCATTATTCGTTCACGAAATTTTCGATGACATTTCTTGTGGTGATGCGGCGAAAAACCCCAAATTTCGGGCCTTCCATTGACCATCCCTCTGCGGATATGGTGGTCACACCAAGCACAAGAAAATCAAGGTGTCCACTGTCCTTCCCTCTTCGCGAATCGCCACACAGTTCAACGGAACTCCAGAGTTACAGTCGTCAGACACTGCACGCACACAGGACGAAGTTATAGATGGTGCAACTATGGTGGGTCAACGGCACAAATATGCTCACGAACTTGTAAATTCGAGATAACAGGCCTGGGCTCATGGACTTGTAGATTCGAGATAACAGGCCTGGGCTCACGGACTTGTAGATTCGAGATAACAGGCCTGGGCTCGACTACACCATCGAGTTCAGCGTGAAACTTCAGTGAAGCTTCCCGCATGATGCAAACCCTGTCACTCGCTGCCACAGAAGATGCAGGTCAGAGTTCAACGCTGACACCATCAAGGAGAAGACAGCTGAAACTTCAGCGAATCTTCCTAAGACAGCTTGAAACATCAGTGAAGCTTCCTACAATCGCTACAACCACCAGCATGTCTCCTCATCTCTTCTACACAGGATCTCCCCCCGAAACATCGAAGTCATGCACCCACTCGATGGCTCACTCACCACCAAGCAAAAGCTCTCCCCTACAAACGCCCGGCACAACAGATCGATCCCACTCCAACAAAAGGAACAGAAACAGCTAACCTGGTCCAGATGGCAACCCGATTGCCCTACTACTACTACTACTACTACTACTACTACTACTACTACTATACCAGCTATGGCTGTCTTCTTCACCACACAGCGCGCTGCTTTGTTTCCATGCCGAAACCCTAAACCCTAAACCCTAAACCCTAAACCCTAAAACCGAAGCAGCACCACACAGAATGAACCCTCCAAAGCCGAATCCCGCAGTTTTGTTTCCCCGGGGCCACTTCCCGCCTTTTGCCCTTGGAAGCCTGTGGATCCTTGCTGGAGGCACACTTACTGCACGGACTGTACTAACTTTCTAGTAACTTTCTAGTAACTTTCTAGTAACTTTCTAGTAACTTTCTAGTAACTTTCTAAGTTTCTAGTAACTTTCTAAGTTTCTAGTAACTTTCTAGTAAGCATTGAGACTTCACATACACATAAGAGCAGGTCTCACGTTCAATTAGGCACAATCACAGTCAACGCTTGCAACAGGGTATAGCTAGCAACAGGTAGGGGCACAGGTGAAAATCAACACCAGGTCTGGGGTTCAAAATCCAACAGCATACAACACATAGCAGAAAAGGCAACAACAACAGCGACAGTTCCTGGGATCGAATCACGGCGGGCTTAGGAAGGAAGGTGAAATCCTTTCACTGATGCCACTCCAGTTCCACATCGATTGTCGTCCATCATCGTTCTAGCTTGTACTTGAAAGAGTCTTCTCATCCCACATGATCACGGCCGGGCTTGCTTAGCTACCTCAAGGTAGTACATGCCTAGCGACATACATATTCAACGGCAGGTCCTTTCAAATCCCTCTAAGTAGCAGAAGCAACACTTTGCTCCACATGTTTTTTTCTCCCTCCCGGGCATGGCAAAGAGCAATGTATGTCCTGTTGTGGTGTGATGGTTCCAGATTGCATTCGTTCTCTGTTTCCGTTCTGCGCTAAGCCTTATTCTAAATGAGGGAGTGCTATTTGTGGGTCGCTGCAGGATGTGGCCCGGACGGAGAGCGTGCTAGTGTGGGGCAAAGTGACGCGGGCCCTGCTGAAAGGAGACTGGGCGAAGGCGTCCCGCGCCAAGAAGGTCGTGGAGGACAACCAGCGAATGGAAAGAAAACTGAGGGAGAAGGAGGGCAAGACGTGGCAAGCCAAGTTTTTTCAGAAGCTGGACAATGGCGACTGGGTATGGCGGTATCCAGACCAGCCGGTGCTTCCAGCCCCAATCCAGGTACCGCTACCGACGCATGGCCCATACATAGTAAGCTAAACAAGGCATGGGAGAAACAGTTAAAACCACCTACCTCATTCAGGCTTGGAACGGTGAATGACTCGACCGATCTAGGATCGATCCAGATTCAGATTTTGGGCGCGGATTTGGTTCAGCCCTCAGCCAGAATATGTGACTTGGCTGTGGCTTGGCTTTTGGGTCGGCTCACGCACCTTTGGACTCAGCTGTGGTCCGGCTTTTGCAGTGGCATGGATTTTTTGGGTCAACTTGGGGTCGACTTCGGCCCAACTTTGGCCACTACGCCGGCTCGGGTTTGACTCGGCTTCGTGCTACCCCCGCTATCTTAGTAGTAGTTTTTCTTGTAGCAGTTAGTCTGGCCTTAGTGGTGTGAGGCTTGCAGATTTTCACTTGTAGGGGACAGTGTCAGTGTTGCCATTTCCTGTCGATATGTATGTGGGGGAAGGCACAGATGCCACCATGAGACCATGAGAGAGAGAGAGAGAGAGAGAGAGAGAGAGAGAGAGAGAGAGAGCTGTCTCTTATACACATCTAGATGTGTATAAGAGACAGGTATAAAGGCCGAAGGCTTGGCAACAGGAGAACT